TCCGAGACTGTGATTGGCTAACTACTGACCAATCAGGACCTCTTCTTAGGGCCACGCAGTGAATTTGAACCTGAAATCTTTCTCTTTTGCAAAGTAACAGCCATAGTGACCACACATTTGAGCTGTTTTTTCCAATGATGGAGTCCAGAAGCCAGAATGCCGCAAATCCCACTTGTTCTTCTAACAGTTATCCGTAAATCTTACTTATTATAAAACGCATATTGTGTGTGTGTGTGTGTGTGTGTGTGTGCCTGTACGTTTATATATTGGATTGGATTTCCTACATTTTTCAACCGATTTGAACAAAACTTCACATAAAATTACCTTGCAGTGGTTCTGACAGTGCCAAAAATTGGTAAAACACAATTGTTTTTGCATAAAATCAATTTGAAAACACAATAAAACACGATTCTGTCGCCAGAATGAAAGGGGGACAACTCATATCGAGTTATACTTATTATAAAACCCAGGTTGTTTGTGTGTGTGTGTTCATTTATATATGGGATCGGATTTCCTACATTTTTCACCCGATTTCAACAAAACTTCACTTTTTTTTTGGCAGGTAGTGTTTCTTATTGTCTTGCACACTTTTTTCTTTATTTTTACATTCAGAATGCTTTAAAAATTCCATTTACAAGACAATTGCTTATAATAAAATTTTATTCAATCGGTAGACTCATAACGATTGAAAACAATGTTTTTGTTTGAGTTTGGGTTTGACCAATTCGTAAAAAAAAAAAAATCCAGACGACATGCATTCAATGGATGTCAATTTTCATTGAAAAATACATCCCTACCCCTTACCAAATTGTAGCTAATAACTGATACAATGATACTGTCATAAGGAAAACCTAGACATCCCTTGTCCAATTGAAGTAGAATATACTGTAACCATGGAAACGTGATTTTAGCTGTGTCTTTAAAACCCAGTAATTTTTTAAAAGTTACTCCAAAATTCGCTTGAGGATGAAATGGAACTAATGCTTTTAATTTAATTGTAAAATTAAATTCGGGGCTTTTAGCTTCTATTTTTGAAACATGGTTAGAACTGTGTAGCAGAAAAAAACATATTTTAAATCAATTAATTTATAATATTACTGCTCTGTAAATTTACATTGAGCACTATTTTGTAAAAATAAAAATATCTATAAGAACACCAGATTATATATCTTACTTTTCTTTCTTTTTATTTATATACATATATATATATATATATATATATATATATATGGATAGATAGATAGATAGATTTATGAATAGTGGCTTATAAATGCAAATCTTTCTCAGACTCTCAAAACATTCATATCTGCTTAGTTTCATATCCTAACATAAAGTAATTCAGTAGGAGTAGATAGGTTTGCCTATCATCCAGTTTACATTTCTTCTCAGTCTTTTAAACAGCAGTAGATGTTTTTCCCTTGTTTCCTGTTTATGATTTGGTTTCCGGTTCCTTCTAAAGTCTATTTCAGCTCTGTACTCCTAATACTTGTCCTTTCCTATGCTATCATAACTCCACACAGTAACCCTCTACCTTCAGTGGCTCTTGGGCCTCGTATTAGGTGAATATTAGTAAAAAAAAAAATTGTAAAGAAGTGATGGATTTGGTATTTTAATATTAATTGTAATACTTCTATAAAAATAAATATTTAAAAAATTTTTTCCAGACATGTAAGAAAAAAGAGTTAGGATATTTTTGTTTTATTTTCTGGTTATCAAGTCACTGATGGTAGTGTGTGTGTTTGTATATATATATATATATATATATATATATATATATATGCATTAGTGTGTTTATGTATCCTTCTGTGAATTTTAGTTTAATTTATTGTATATTTATGATCAGTACTGCTGACTGATATCATATTTCCTCAAAACCACCCCAGTAAACAATTCTCACACCAATCCTCCAGTCACAATCATCATGCCAATCCTCCAGTCACCGAGTTAAGGCTGTCACATTCTTTAATTTTCTCTGAATTTGAGTCAAGCTAAATTTAATTTACCCTTTTTTAATTGATACATTGTGCTAAAAAATCTTATACTGTACAGAATAAATTATTTAAAATGAATAATTGAAAAGAATAACGTGAAATAAAAATGTGATTTTAAAAAATAGTCATTAGAGATTTTTAAAACATTAGAAAATTAAAGCAAGAAATACATTGCCTATTAAGTATGTCTCCCACTTTGATAGGGCTCAGATCTATGTAGCCACATTAATTTTATTTCATTCTTTTTTTTTTACTTACTTTCTTTCATTGTATTTTTCTTTCTTTCTTCTTTATTATGAAAAATATCTAGAAATGTATTTCAGTCAATGTTTTGAGGTACGGAGTTAAAACTATTTTGTATCCAGCTGAAGTCAAGAATGAAAACAATGCACTACGAAAGATTTTTGTTGCTCTGAAATAGATGTACTTGAATGTTGATTCACTCAGGCTGAGCTTGACAAGCTTGACCCCTGGAGTCGCCACTGATGTGTGTGTGTGTGTGTGTGTGTGTGTGTGTGTGTGTGTGTGTGTGTGTGTGTGTGTGCTTGGTGTCCCCAAAAATGTACTCACTCTCTGAATGATTATAAATGCAGTATTTATTGATTTTCAAACAAGATTAATGATTAAAATTAAGAAAATCCCATGAAACTGTTACAGGTCATATATTGTTAACCAAAGCTCATATATATGTAATAACCCTACAACCACACAACTGAATCCTCTACAAAAAACCAATGTAGTGTATCAATTTACATGCCCGTTCAGAGATTGTATTGCTGATACTAATAATAAACCCACTACATATATTGGTTTTACTACAACCACGCTCTCTCGTAGACTAACCTGTCACCTTTCTGATCTTAGTTCTATTAAACAACATTTCTTAGAAAGACATAGCCATGTACATAATATTAGGCAAATATTAGTTGATAAAACAATAATACTCACACATACACACAGTAAAAAGAACCTACAAATATTGGAGGCTATCTACATTAAAACAAAGCAATCCACACTCAACAAAATTACATTTCAAACTAGTCACAACACATTACATTGCATCTAGACATATGGTTCTGTTGTTAATATTTCAGTCTCTCACGTGGTACGACGTCATAGAACTGCATCATGAATTTATGACCTGGGTCTGCTATTCCATGACCGTCATCGCATAGCAATCTTCTATGTCAACATAACAGACTATCATCTTTGATGGTGAATATCTTTGTGTAAATGTCCACATAACCATGCTGACGATGGCTCATGTGAGCTGAAAGCTTAGATCAAGGAACAGCTTAATAAAAAAAAAATTACCCAAATATCGGACACTTTTTGTCTTTATTTTCACCCGAAATTAAAGCAAATGTACAGAATTTAGAATAGCTCATGGTCAAATATAATAGACTTTCATTGTCTGTTATATGTAACAATATATGTTAAAATAATATATATATATATATATATATATATATATATATATATATATATATATATATATATATATAAATTTGTATATATCAAGAACAATATTGGGGAGAAAAATGTATGACTAAATGGAAGAATTAATTTCTTTTTAAATTTAAAATTCCTAGGATCCCTCGATTATATGCATGTGTAATTGCACCAATGTAACAGATTTGTATTGGGTAAATTTGAGAAAAAATATATTAAAAGCATAATTGAAGACTGCATACTACAATATAGATTTAACTGAAGACTATGCAACAATAGCAACGTAATGCACATATTGTAATAGAAAGTTAATATTAAACTACATAATAAAAATAGCAGCTTAATTGTAGAACATGTCCTATATTAAATATATAATGGTATACAGTATACTGCAATAGAGATTTAATAGGTGACTATATGCAACAATAGTAAACTAAAATGTTAGGACATGTATTAGAAACTTAATAGGGGATTTGTTGCAGGAATGCTAGTATGTTTGGATAAATATTTAGTTACAATGTTGCAGTAATCAACACTTTGGATAGTAAATATTTACAGGCTCCTGGAAAATTTATCCCACAAACAATACTGCTGAACTCAATGTGAGCCCAGATAAGAGAATGAGTAATACAGAAAAATATAAAATAAACGACAATGTATGTATTAACAAAAGAATTACAATAAAAAAAAACATTTGAAGATTAGTTACATAGAAAACATTTAAACTAGAGAATGAATTTTTTTGTGTGTGAAATTTGTGTAGGCCTACATGATAGGAATGTGTGAAAGAGTACAAAAAGTCACGAGAGAAATGTAAAACCATGAAAATGAATGTGTCACCGTGAGGGACACTTTTTCCCCATGAGTGAACTGAAGGTGTAAAAGAGGAAAAGAGAATAGGGAGAAAAATGTACGCCTTTATATAGGCTTAAAGAGCGCCCCCTAGTGATGGTTTTTACCAAAGTCTAGTGGGATAACCCACAGATCAACGACTACAGTATTGTTTTAAGTATCACGGAAGCATGCTGGGCTCATAACCTGTGGAGTGAGTAGCCATTGTCAAATGCAGAATAAGTAATAGAACTGTTTGACAAACAGAACTGGCAAAGTTTGCAATAAGCAATAACAAGAAAAAGAAAAGAACAGGGCAAAAAAATAATATAAAGCAATCAAACAATATATGCAAAGCAAATCAACAGTAATAAGGCAAAGCAACAGTAATATGGCAAAAAGTTCAAAAACTAAGAATTAGGGTTGACACACAAAAGCAAGTTCAGACAAGTGAATGTAGCATTCTAACTTCAAGATAGGACAAACCAGGACTAAGTCAGATGAAACCAAGAACCAGCCTATTTTATTGGCTAGCAAAAAATCCCAGTATGTATTTCTGCCTATAAATTGGGGAGGGACAAGTGTTTTGCAGTCATTCCCTCTGAGAATGGAATAACATTTTTATCATACAATTTTGTTTTTACTTCCAGTTTATCTTAAGAAAATCATGTGCACAACTGATGTCAGTAGCTTCAGTTGTTTGTTTCTGAAGCTTTGCCAAGAGAAATGTTTCAAAGCAGATGCAGATTTGGTCAAACGGCTGCAAAGGTCAGTGAAATGTTTGAATTCTCTTTAATATTTTAAAAAAAAAAGATAAAATAAGAACCTGATGATTTTTTATAAATGTTGTTCCTTTTATGAGAAAGAGGTAAAAAACCTAGAATACAGTCATTACTAGTTAGTTAAAGAATTATATAAAAAAGGCATTTGAATTATGATTGTCAAGTAATTTTTACAATTATATCATCCATAGAAAAAATTCCAAGCATAAAGCTATCTAATATAATTTTAAAAAATCTCTAGCCAGATATGTTTTTTTTTTTTAAATAATATGTGTATCTATTTCAAGCGTGTGTTTGTATATATGTGTATGTATTAGTGTGTTTATATATCTCTGTCTGTGAATCTTATGTTTATGATCAGTACTGCTGACTGATATCATATATCTCCTCAGCACTACCCAAGTCACACTCCTCACCCTAACCCTCCAGTCGACAAGTTAAGGCTTACTTTGATTTTTGCTGACTTTAGGTCAGGATAAATTTAATTTGCCCTTTTTTAATTGATACATTGTGCTAAAAGACCTTATACTGTATGGAATAAATTATTTAAAATGGACGTTCGAAAACAATAAGTTCAAATAAAAATGTGTTCTTTGAAAGACATGACATACAACTCATTAGAGATTTTTAAATGATTATAAAACTCAAGCAAGAAATACATTGCTTATTAAATGTCTCCAGCTCAGATAGGGCTCAGATCTATGTCGGCCGACAAGCCACATTAATTTTATTTCATTCTTTTTTTTTACTTACTTTCTTTCTTTCTTTCTTCCTTATTATGAACAATATTAACAAAATGTATTTTGGTCAATATTTTGAGGTACGGAGTTAAAACAATTTTGGATCCAGCTGAAGTCAAGAATGAAAATGATAAACGACAAAAGATTTTTGTTGCTTTGAAATAGATATACTTGAATGTTGACTCACTCAGGCTAAGCCCTACTGCTAGAGTCGCCACTGTCAGCAACAAATAAAAAAGTAAAGAAAATCCTTTGAAATTTATTTCCATGATTTGAAATGGAAACAAAAAAAAAATTAAATTTTGAAAATTTTTTGTTTTTTGTTTTGTTTTGTTTTTTTTGCAGACCTGGCCCCAAGGTTCTGGATTTGTCCCACTTGAACATTTCTGAAGAAATGTGCAAAATTTTAGGATTGACTCTCTCCTTTAATGAAACGATTGTGGAAGTTCGGTTCTCAGATTCAATGATTTCATCCGAAGTTAAGTCTCTTCATATATTTTTTTTTCAATCTGCTTTTTTTTTTTTATTTAAATCAAGCAGAAGACAGTTTTTTTTATTCCTCCTACTATTCTCTACCTTTACAAGTGCCATAAACAAGCCAAAAATGGAATATTGCTGCCATATATGGGGCAGGAGCCGCCCAGTCTTTGCTTTCCACTCTCAATAGAGACCAAAAGCATCTCCACTTCTTTGTGCATGACCAGTTATTTTCCACCTTACAACCCCTTTCTCAAAGATGAGACAAACCTCTTGCTGATCTATTGTTATTTCCTTGGAGAGTGTTCAGTTGAACTACTCTTCCTCGTTCCACCAATCCTAACCTTCACAACCAAGACCCGCCATGCTATGCACATTGTAGCAAACCACCCCCATTCACTTCATATTCCTTCAGTGAAATGTAAGTTCCACTCATGCAGCTTCTTCTCACAAACTGCTACTTTGTGGAATTGACTCCCAAGAGGATGCTTCCCTAATCATTACAATCTTGTTCAAGTCTGCAGTTAACTGTTATCTTCCCCACATATCTGCATAAACTGTACCTCTTACTTTTTTACAATCATCTACCTCAAGTGACCCCTGAGCCTTGTAAAGGGTGAACACAATTATAAAAAAAAAAAAAATTACATCTAATATAAAAATAAAATGAAAGAAATAGTTGAAAGATGAATAATAATTGACAATGCAGCGGGTAGTGTGTACCACTTTGTAATGGATGCAGGTGTTATTCGTTGAAGAGAATCTGGTTGAAACCTTTCAAAATAAATGCATTCAATATGTGAAAGATTTTAAAAAATCTATACTTATACATAGAACAACATAATTATGAGATCAGTGGTAGTATGCATCTGTGTGCATCATGTGGCTGCGTGAAATTAAGTAGTTGGTTTGCCCAGGGGAATGAAATCTCTTCTGACAAGGATGTGTCCCAACTTGTTGCTACAGCATCCTAGATCAAAAAAAAAAAAAAAAAAAGTGAGTGAGTTCTTTATATACCACTTATTTCCACACTATTTAGCAGTTAATTCCCCCAGCAGATATGCCAGGGGTAATCCTACATTTCTAAGAAATTAAAAAAGTTTTAATAAAATACTACAAGTTTATTTAAATGTAAAAGTTGATTAGTTAATGTTACAACTCTTTAATATTGAATTTTATATTGGAATTTTAGTCAGGATGTAACAGATTGTCAGGAAAAATAAAGAATAGCTATATGGTTAAATATAAATGATTGTCACCTGGTGGCCTCTGTAGGCTGATTGGTAAAGTAGCTGTCACATTAAGCTTCTTGAGATAAAGGACATGCAGTCTTTTTTATAAATATTTTCATGAGGAACTTTCTCTAGGTTACTTAGACTTTATGAATCTAGACACAGTACTAAATTGGCAACAGTTGCAAGTGTTTATATGATGTCGGTATTTAGCCGAATATCAAAGACTACAATTTTAAAAGATTTTATGTATGTTTATATCATCTTTTCCCTATCTCTGCCTGTCATAGACTTCACACTAATATTAGATAGTTCTCTCTAAAGTGCAAAACCCAAGAGGCACTCAAAGTAGACGGTTACAAAGTAAGAGGCACAATTTATGGGGATGTATAGAGAAGATAATAGTTAACTCTAGACTTAAATGGGTTAAGATTGGAGTGATTGAGGAAGCATCCTCTTGGGAGTCGGTTTCACAAAACAGTGTTTCATTTTCTCTTCAAAGGCAGCGATCGATTTGAGATTGTATCAGTGTTACAAAAAAGATCCTCCTTCTAAATCGGTAACAAGTCTATATTTTTTGTTATTCTGACAAGTGCAATGTCTTGTAAGGTCTAAAGAATGCTAATCTGCAAAAGTTATTTCTGAAAAATTATTTCCTGCTTTTTATGAGGGGACCCATCTACTTAAGTAGTTCCATGTCTTTCACTAACGAACACAAAGTAGGGTCATGTCTTTCAGTAACGGATACAAAAGATAACCAGTTTTGTTTCATTACAGGGATGAAAGAAATTATTTCTGGTTTAGTCACTAACACATCCATTCAGAAATTAAATCTGAAGGTAAGTCTAACACATATATATCTTGTTCGCATGTTTGATCAAAGATACAAGGGTCAGCTGAAAAGTCTAGAGGCTGACTATGAAGGAGTGGTGCCAGAGCTGTGAAATCTTGCATGCATTAATTTCAACTTGTTATATTAAGTGGATGGTGGCAGAACAAAGAAGAAACAACAAAGGTTTAAGAAATAAACAATTGTATTAATGTAAAAATACAACAAATGGTAAATTCAGTATCTCTCTATATTTCTGAGATGGGGTATTATGTACATTATTTACATTATTTGGACTATTGTCCTCATCTTTATCGCCATATTTATTACAACATTTCGGCCTTTCAGTATCTGTCTATATTTCTGAGATGAGGTATTATGTACATTATTTGGACTATTGTCCACATCTTTATCGCCATATTTATTACAACGTTTCAGCTGTTGTACGCTCCAGCCTTCTTCAGGTGGTTGGAATGTCAAACTGAACCCTTTATTTCGCTAACTGGGGTAGACTGTTCTAGTTTCACGTGCCATGTTTAATGGATGTCAGTTATCTACTGTTAATTCCCCTCTGAAAGTTCTCCACTGCCTTAACCGGGTATTGAACTCACCTTCTTTGGGTCTGTCACTGGATCTAACCAACGCCTTTATCCACTGTGCCATGTGTCCTTGAGGAAATAACTGATTTTAGCATAAAAAAAACCCACAAAGATTGATATGTCGATAAACAAATTTAACCAAACCAACATGAAAGAATTCTTTCATGATATTAATCCATATAATATCTGATAATTTCTTAAAGAAATCAAACTGTATTCCAAAATATAACTTCAACAAAACTATAACATAAAACACACATATCATTGTCTCTAGGGTTTGTGTCTACACAAAACCGTATATGCACAAAAGCTGAGTATCATCTACCATTTATTCAATTGTGAAAGCAGAATAACATATCATATTTTTATTACTTCAAAGCTCCCAAGAAATTTGAGCATTAAATAACCCATAAAGAGTTGATATGCCATTAAACAAACAAATCAAATCAAAATCATAGTTCTTGGATAAAGTTGGGGGTTATTAGTGATGGCTCTGGTGGTTAGAGCATTGGACTTCTGATCATGAGGTCGAGGTTTGACTGTCACATTAGTCAATTTGTCAAGGAAGTGACTTCTTGATAATATCATCCTGGGGAGATGATCCCAGTGTGCAGCACCATTGGGAAATGTCTGAAAACTGTACCACAAGTTGACTCAATCCTTTTGAGGGAACTTTGGTAGATGAAACTGTTTAGAAGCTGTCAATGGTTGTGCTAGTCAAAAGTCATCATGGCCGAGGGTTTAAGCATACTGGCCTTGTTCAAACTAGTAATCACACTAGACTAAGTGCTTTCTCCCAGAAACTGTACCTAAGGTTTGCTCAACATAGTTGCAATATAAACCATATGTGGACTCTGAATAAACATAAATGTGTCTTAGCAACATGGATCAGCTAGTCGCCCTAGCAGACGTGTATATTTCAAAATGAGCATCCAGCCAGTTTGATTTTTGCTAAATTTGGTGAAAGAATATTCTCAATATAAACTTTATTCTTGTTTTATTTGATGACAGGGCAATCATATTCGAGGAGACACAGTAGAGGCCTTAGGAATGTTGTTACGAAACAACAAAACTTTAACCAGGTGAGTTCAGAAACATCCCCTTTTGGTTGGCTAATGTGATTATGTGATTGAGGAGGCGTGGTGGAGTAATGGATAGCGGCTCAGATTGAAGAATCAGAGAGCCAAGTTCGAATTCCAGTTGAATCCATTACATTCACTTACCTTTGAGAAACCCTCTACCTTGAGTGGCTCTTGTGAACAACAGTAACAAAAAAAAAAGTTCAAAGATACTAAGTGCTGGAAATTCTTGCATCAATGTTGGGTAGAAAGACTGACTATCCTTCTCTACACTTATTACTGAAACATTGATTCATCCATCCACTATGTGTAGAACACCTGTTCATGGAACAGTGGCAAAAAGTGGGTCACAAATGTGTAGCACTAGTCGTACGCTTGTCACACTGAACTACTGTATTCCCAATCCATGTCCTCATGTGATTAAACCTTTCTTCACTCAACCTTTGGTTTCCAGTGTTTTTACTTACAGTCTTACTAACCAGCAACTCTGGGCGTTATACAAACTTTATATCAGGAAATTATTTTTAAGAACCTTGTTACGTAAAATTGTCATTAACTTCAATAAGTTTAATCTGATGTTTTATATATCGTAAATGAGCTATACAAAACATTAAATCCCTCCGGCTCAAACATTTTTACAAGTTAATGTTTTTTTTAGGTACATCTATAGTTGCAAAAAGTATATTTCTGACAAATTAAGTCTTCTTCTTCTTCTCATTGAATACTGTTGCCACATATGGTCTGTTGCCCCCTTTGTTTATCTCAAAGACAGATATGCAATGTGATCGGTCCTACATTCTCAGTTCATGCCCTCATGTGATTAAATCTTTCTTCACTCAACCTTTGGTTTCCAGTGTTTTTACTTACAGTCTTACGAATCAGCAACTTTGGGTGTTATACAAACTTTATAACAATCAACCTTTTTTTTTGCAGTTTGTGTCTTGAATGGAATGATCTGGGTATGTTAGAATCATCATTTGCTATTTTTTGCGATGGTTTACGAGCAAACACAAGCCTGAAGCGTCTTGACCTCAGAAACAATCAGATTACACACTGTGGCATAAAAGAACTTGCAGAAGCACTTTATTGTAACAAAACTCTCAAGGCAATTGGTACGTCGTTTCATAAAGTAAACATTTATTGAGTTTTCTATTAAAATCAAAAGAAATTTCCTTAATTTCTATTTGTTTTCTCTGCTGATGACCAAAAAGAATCTGTCGAAAATGCTCTTTATTGTTTGTAGAAACTAAAACCTTTTTGCATGTGATTCATGCCAGGAAATACCAGAGGTCCAAATTGAATTTAATGTCCATCTGGAACATTTGATTCTTTTTCCTAATTATTTCACCCCAAGCAAGAAAGCCACTAAGACACAAAGGGGTTACTGAGGATGAAAGAGAAGAGAATGAAGGAAACTGAGAAAACATTATTGAGTAGAAAGGACAATAAAAAAAACAATGGTTCCAAAAAGACAGATGACAATTGACATTATATTTAAATTTTTGTAGTTTCTAGTTGACATGAAAACAGAAAGGTAGAAGAGAGTTCCATAGTCGAGAAGCACAAGAGAAGAAAGAGAAAGAGTTATCAATAAGAGAGAGTTATTAAAAAGTATGAGAGAAAGAGAGAGAGATGAAAGTGGGAGATAGTAAGAAAAAGAGTTATGAATAAGTGAAGTAGAGAGAGCAAAGAGAGAGAAAGAATATTTTTTAATCATTCTATCTTAAGGCTATAATCATTCTATCTTAAGGCTATAAAGCCACTAAGAAACAAGGAGGTTACTGAGAATAAAGGCAACTGAGAAAACATTCAGGCATTTATGTGCCATATGTGATATATGCTTAGGTGATCATATATCTTTCAAGACATGACTGACGAGGCATATTTTTTTTCCCGCAGTAGGTTGCCATTTCTTTCTGCCATCAACCAGTTACCATCCAAGGCTATAGAACCCAGTTTGTCCTGCTATTTACCCATAGCTTAGAAGAAGAGGATTCACACCTTTCCCAAGGGTATTAGCATGTAAGTGAATGTAATGGATTCAACTGGAATTCGAACTTGGCTCTCCAATTCCTCAATCCAAACTGCTATCCATTACTTCACTACGGAGGAAAAAGCGGGCTCAAAAAAAAACAGATGACAATTAACATTGCATTTAAATTTTTGTAGATTTAAGTTGACAGGAAAGCAAGAAGCTGGAAGAGAGTTTCACAGGTGAGAAGTTCCAGAAAAGAAATGATCAGAATAGAATTTATAGTTGCATTTAGAATTTCAATACTAAAATGACGAGACCTAGCTACCAATCTAGTACCGTGTTTAAATTCATGAAGTCAAGATATCAAAAAGAAAAGGACATCAAAACAATTACATGAAAATAGTTGTAGAAAAAGCTCCAGGAAGATATGCTATTGTTATGGGAACTTACCTATAATGATAATGGACTCTTCCTGACACTATAAATACTGTGCCTCTCAAGAGGTACAATGAATGAATGGTATAACGAGCACCAGGTCATGACTGTTGAAATCTCTGCTTTGGCAGAGAGGAACCCGGACGAAGCTTTACCAAAGGGCAGGGTTTCGTCCGGGGAGGTAGACAGGCCCTGAACCCGTCTAGGCGGGTTCAAAGAGTATGTTTTTTGGCCGAGCCTATGGGCTCAGAGAAACCCACTTTAATCTCGGCCTCGTGCCACATATATTCCTCGTGAGTGGGATATTAAATACAATGAATGGTGTAACGAGTCGAGACAATATTAGTTCACTCTAAAACAGACGGACAGTCATTACTAACACCTTCAACTTCTTGTACTATATTTCTGTTGTAATATATCTTTGTTATTCTACTCTTGTGTTTGGGTTGTTCTTCCTTGGTTCTAACCTTGGACCATAACTGTGGTGCGAGGATATTGGACCATAACAGCTATGATTGTGGGAAAGTGAGTGAAGCTGAGATACCAGGTTAGAACCAATAATATTGCAAATTCGGCAAACATGGATAAACATGCCCACAATAAGACAAAGTATCAAAATGACATTTTTTTCCCATCATACCACTTTTTTAGCTACCTTCATTCTTTGGCAAAGTTCATTGTTTTAAAAAGCAACAATTAAAATTGTAATAAAACGTAAACATATGTAAGTAAATTTATACATTTTGTTTCTTCTTGAGAAATGGCAATACTATTTATTTATTATAGTATTTATTGAAATGGGTGGTAAAACATTGACTAATTGCCAATTGATTCAAACTTTATAAAATGAGAAATAATAACTTGGTTCACATGTTTTATGCTTATAAATTTCTGAATAAAAAATTGTTTTCATATTTATTTATTTCCATATTGGTAAATGATAAATATTGCACTACATTAGTTCTAATTGTATTAGTTTTTAGAAAGTTGTAAATACAGTGTAACCCGGATATAAGAGAGATTTTCTCTGGTCCCAAATTAGAGCCTGTGTTAATGTATATAAAATAGACCAAACCCAGATATAAGAGAAACCCGGATATAAGAGACTTCTTCTCTGGTCCCGACAACTCTCTTATATCCGGGTTACACTGTATAAAATTATTCTTGTAAATAAACAATCTAATGAATAAATAGGTTTCAATATTTTTGTTTTTAAATTCTCAAGAACAAAAAAGGTTAAAATTCATTTTCATCCGTAGGTTACCCAGATCAATATATATCTGAGGAAGGCTGGAAGGCATAACAACCAAAATGTTGTGATAAAAACAACAAAGATGAGGACAGTAGTCCAAATAGAAATAGTGTAAATAAAGAAAATGTATAGATCCACTTTCATATGTTTGGGTTTCGTTAAAATTCTAATCATCACTTTTTAAAAGAATAAACATTGTCAAGGGAATCAAACGGGAATACAGTAATAGCTCTTGACATGGGAATAACCATTCTTTTCACACAACATATTTTTTTTTACAGGCACAAAGCCACATAACCTGAAAATTTCTTAGTTTTAATTTTATCAGTTTTTAGAATATTGAAAATATAAAATTATTCTTGTAAATAAACAATCTAATAAATAAGTAGTATTTGATATTTTTCTTGTCAAGAATTCTCCAACAGATTTTGAAAACATGGACCTTCATGCCACAAAAAAACGGAGTGCCAAAAGGACGTTTTTTTTCATTGACACTGCTATTGTTTTAACTACCTTCACATATTTATATCCATTCACAGATTTAACGATCTTTACTCCTGGTTCACATATTTTAATAATTTAGTAAATGTTTATAAATTTATAAATAAAAAATTGTTTTCACATTTATTTTTTTATAAATTGGTAAATGATAAATATGGCATTGGAATTGTGTTAGTTTTTAGAATGTTGTAAATATAAAATTATTCTCGTAAATAAACAATCTAATAAATAAATAGGGTTTAATATTTTTGCTGTAAATTCTCAAGATCAAAAAAAGATCAAAATTCACTTTCATCTGTAGGTTACCCAAATCAATATATATATTATGAAGGCTGGAAGACATGACAACCAAAATGTTGTGATAGAAACAACAAAAATGAGGACAGTCGTCTAAATATAAATATTGTAAATAAAGAAAATCTATAGATCCACTTTCATATGTCTAGTAAATAAATAAATTAATATTTTTGTTGTCAATTTTCTAGAAAATGCATAAATTCAGTTTCATACAGTTTGGCTTTATTAAAATTCTAAAAATAGCTTTTTTAAATGAATAAAAATTGCATTTGGAGTATAGAGTAATTAGTGGTATCAAGAAAGAAAACATCCTTTTGATCCACCATTTTTTGATGATATGTTTGTTAAACTTTGCCATTTACAGTCTATGGTGTAGTGATGATAAAATTAGCCTAAGGAAAGCCTGAACTTTGCTATATAACACAAGCCATTTGTTTTTATTTATTTTGTTTTTGTGAGACATTTTGTTTGAGAAGGGATCAAAAAAGTGTATTTTATATACCATCAAATACCATAAATTGTTCAAACTTTTTACTTTGACTGAAAATTTCGAAAAAAATGAATTTTCCAAACTTTTCTTTTATTTGCTCTCATCGCATAAGTTTACGAAAATAAGTTAAGACTGAGAAAAAAAAAATGTATAAATTCTAGTTTCATATATTTAGGTTTTATTAAAATTCTAAAAGTAACTTTTTAAAACAATAAAAACTGCCAAGGGAGTATGCAGTAATACAGGTGCCAATTAAAAACGCCATCCTTTTGACACACCCTTGTTTTTGTAGGTAAGTTTAAAGTTCACCTGTAGTAAATGATACATGTTGCAGTAAAAAAAGAGGTGGGTGTTCTGCATGAGAGTTTTGTTGACTTATTTTTTTCTTTTTTTTTTTTTACCCAGATCTCAAATGGAATAAAATTGGCTTGGTCGGAGGACGTGCTCTACTAAATCTTCTCTATCAAAATAAAACTTTGGTCACTCTTGATTTGACTGGCAACGATATTCCTTGTGACATCGTTCGATCCATAGGTAATCACCTATTTGCTTCCATCTTTGTTTGTACAATTTAGTAAGACTTTGCTAAAGTTCCCTGAGTCATTCAAGACAATTTTTATCACTATAATCTACCTTGCACATTTATAAGTCTACCATTTGTCCGTGCATCAAATATGGCTGCCACATCTCATCTGACACTTTTGCTACATAGCTAGAGATTCTTGAAAAAAATCCAAAGAAGAATCTGCAATGTTATTGGTCCTGACCTGGCATCTTAGCTTCAATCACTTTCCCACCACCATAACATAGCTTCTCTGTACCTTTTCTATAAATATTTTCATGTAATTGTTCTGATGAACTTTCCGCTATGGTACCTAGACTTCATGAATTTAAGTGCAGTACTAGATTGACAGCAAGGTCTCAATTTACAGTTGAAATTTCTAGATGTAACTGTAAACTTTCCCAACACCGTAACATAGCTTCCCTGTGCCTATTTTATAAATATTTTCATAGTAATTGTTCTGATAAGCTTTTTTCTTTGGTACCACAAATTTAAGCACAGTACTAAATTGTCAGCTATATCCCATCATTTTATACTTGAAATTGATAGATGTAACTGTAAGTTCTATGCTAACAGTTTCTTCACACTTGTCACTTGTGGAATTTTCTTCCAGCTTCTTGCATTCCAGTCAACTTTGAACTTGAAAAATTTAAATGCAATGTCAATCATCATCTTCTGTTTCCTTAAATGAGAACTAAAAGGAAATTTATACTTACAATCAGAACGAGCCAGTTGAAATTTCTGGGATGTATAATAAAGGAAAAAGGCCTAGAGCAGTGTTTCTCAACTTTTTATTTTTATTTTTGGACACACTTGTAAAATAACTAAAAATCTGGGGCACAGTTTAAATTTTAATAAGAAAAAATTAGTCCTGAAATTTGAAAATATGAAATTTTAATTTAGCATTTTCTGCAAAAATTAGTGGTACAGTTTTTATTTAAATGGATCTATGAAGAATCTGCTATTTTATTTAGAGAGGTCGATAATGACTGATTTAAATCCTTTGAAGAAGGCAAAGTATTATCCACTCCTTCTTAAACATTAAGGAATTTAGCATCCAGTTTAAAATATCAAATGGCAAAGTTTTGATTTAAACATGGAAGCCATTTGCTTGATGTCTCAAGCTTTTTAAAAATAAAAAAATATTCATAAATTACTACTTCTGTTAACTTGGGGCGCACCCGGCTATCTTTCAGGGGACATTAATGCACTTGGGTGCCTACTTAACAAGTCAATAAATGGATGGCAGAACAGGGATAAAGAGGAAGAATAAAAGGTCAAAAATTACTTAAAGCATAAAAATGCAGGCAGTTGTGGAGGGCCATAACCGTTTACCTCCTGAAAGAAGACACTATAGATTTAAATAATGTGCAGATCATTATTTCTATTAAATCATGTAAATTAAAGGGAATATTGATCTCTATGTGTACTGCTTGATTTTAGTTGGGATTTTATAAAAGGGTTTTTGATTCGAACCTGTTGAATTCCCTGATGTCTAGTTGATGAGGTTTTTAGGAAGTTTGCAGACAAGCTTCAACTAAAGCAAGTTATTAAAAAAGATTTTAACCTGACAGACAAGATTAAAATATTGGCCAGTATATTTTTTCTTTTCAAGATAATTGACTCAGAAAGTCACCAGACAGCAGAAAATTAGGATGAATTTCTAAATCACTATTTAAATAATTTACATGCAGACTATTTTTCCTCATCTTTGTTGTTATTATTGCATTTCAGCTCACTGGGCTTCGTTAGGTGTTTGTTGATCAACATTACCTTCCAGGAATTTCATACTGAATCCTTTATTTAATTTTTAGGCTAGATTTTTCCTGTGTTCTGCTAACCATTTCTAGAGATATCTTGTCTAGTTCTTATTTAGTACTACTCAGGACAGTAGTTTATTAGTGGATTAAAGCGTTTGGTTCATGAATTAGTCCACATAGTAATTGTAAGTCTAATTCCTAGTCCAGTACGAGCACACAGTCGACTGGTTACAATGTTTGCTTTTTGACTATGAGACCTGGGTTTGAATCTCATCATGGTCAATTTGTCAGGGAGGTGACTTCTTGATGTCATTGGTCTGGAGGAAATGATCTCAGCATGTGGCACCTTTGGAAAGTGCCTGAAAATCATACCACATGTTGGCTTAAACCCTTATGAATGAAATTGGGTAGACAGAACCCCTTGGGGGGCGTTGATGGTTGTACTAGCACGAAGTCACAAGTCATTGTGACCGAGGGTTTGAGTGTGCTGGTGTTGTTCAGATTGTTTATTACACAAGATAACACGCTCTCTCCCAGAAACTGTAACTAAGGTCTGTTCAGCATAGTTACAGTATAAACCATAGGTGGGGGGGGGTCTTTGATTGTTGAACAAACATAAATGTACTTGAGCAGGCATTTGCAGCAAGGATTAGCTACCTGCCCTAGCAAACAGGCATCCTCAGATATGAGTGACCAGCCATCCCAATCCCTGGTCTTGCTAGTATTTACTTTGACTTCGTGGAAACATGGCGAACGATAAATGAATGGTATTAAATAAAAACTATTTAATAATTTCTAGATCCGATGAAGAAGTGATTCCAAAATAAATTTCTAATTGGACAGATTTTGGGAAGTTGGTTGGGCCAATAACATTTCATCATCGCGTTGTATTCTGTAAGTTATCAAGAAAAGTAACTCTTAATGCTTGTGTGAAAATTATCTCCCTTGTATTTGGCAAAATGATTTTTCATGGCATCATCTGGAATCTGTAACTTGACTGTACAGTTTTTAGTAAGAACGGCATTGAGGGAGAATGTTTTCTATCTTTTTTTTAATGCTTCACTTCATTGGTTTTCAGAATCAGTTTTGTTGCGTAACGAAGAGTTTCAGTTCATGTCTAACAATTGCAAGAGAAAAACTCATCTTCTCTGCAAAAAATACAGAAATTTAGAGTCAGACCGTAAAAATCAGGTAATTTCTTTTTCATCCACTATATTAAATAACGTTCACAAGTAAAGATTTGCTTAAAGTGTTTTTTTTTTTTCGGGAAAATATATTTTTTCCTTTGTCTTTTGAATGAATACAACTTTCATTTCTTTGGGAAATTAACTTGTTAAAAGTTTCCTTTCATGAGTATTCAATTTACAATGAAAATTTAAAACAAAATTTTTGTAAACATTTTTTTTCCTACTGATCTATTTTCAATAAAGGTATAAAGAGCAGTGGTGGGATTCAAAAATTTTAAAAACGGGTTCTCTCAGCAACAGGTTTCAATAGCAATGTGTTCCCTCATTTTTCCATAGTCTATACTTTACTATATAAATATAATTTAGGAATAAAGAAAATTTTTCTTACACTTATTCAAAAATAGCAAAATTAATCTGCATTACATTGCAGGTTATCATTTTGAAAGGAAAAATAATTAAGAGAAATGCTTTAAAATCTTTTATTCATGATCTTTCATTTTAAAAAATTTCCAAATAGCCACTTGATTGTCATTCTGTTGTCATCAGTTTATTGGTTAATAAATATTTTCCCAATTTTTAAATGTCCATTTTAAGGATGGAAAATATTGTTGATCATATTCTGAAGTGATCCACCAAAATTTCGTATCTAACAACAAATATTTTTCATCTGCAAATTCAAAGAAAACCATACGTCTCATATGATGTTGCTGATTGGTTAATATATACAAAAATTAAAATTATTGGAGCCAAAGTGTACAAAATTAAAATTACTGGAGCTATAGTGTACAGAAAATGATTTAATTTCTGTGTGATCCAGTTTTGTACAAAAAATGAGTTTTTAGTGACAGTACTTAAATCTATAGCATTTTTCTACAATTCTGTAATGGGGTTTCACATGTTCTTCTCATTTTTATAGCTCTCATATTTGGTGTTCTTCTGATGTAATGGAATAACCTGTCACCCCCATGAGTGACTACACTATAGGTAGTAACTACCTATAAGTATCTGTAAGTCAACAGACTACAGAGACTAGCTGCGATCTGTTGAGTATAACTCAGACTTACACGAGAACTACCAACCTTCCAATAGTAGCACTCACTACTGGATTGATTTGCGATGACCTTGTGCATAACTGTTACCTTTATTCCTATTGTACTGATTTTTTACAATAAACCTTTACTTATTTTATCCACCTTGTTTTTCAAGTATATATTCCTATTAGCACGGAATATAGCATCTTCTTAGGAAGTTTCAGAACTTGTATCTGTTCTTTCTTTGTGATATCAGTCTACCCTTTTATTTAGTCCATGTATACTTCTTCACTGCCTGACCTGGGAATTAAAATTACAATTTCCATTAAAGTTCTAAAAATGCAATCAGTATATCTGCATGGATCAAATAAAGATTTCTGGTCAACCATCCCAGACAGTTACCAAATACAACAATTGTACACATAAAGAAAGAAGGAATATTAGTGAGGAATTATAAAAATGCAAAATAGCTGAATAAATTTTATTCTGTCTGAATTTCTAAGAGGAGGTTCTGCTACTATTATTACATTGACCATTTGATGAGGTGATGCTATGAAATAACAAGATTGGTCCTTGAAGAGCTTTGAAGTTGAATAACAGCATGCATGCACAAATCATGTGGTATTTTCTTGACCAAAGAGTAAACATAAACCACCTCTGAAAATTTCAAATCATTTGTGTTTTTAATCTGCTTGAAATAGACATGTTTTTCTGATGAGGTGTAAGTAAGGTTAGGCAAAAAAAAAAAAAAAAAACAAGCAACATATCAATTTGAGATATTTGGTGAAATTAAACAAATTGCTGTGGTTATTAAACAAAATGATGTGGCTATTTCCAGTCAACCATCTGTGGGGTACAGCTTACCTGGATTAAAAGGAGAATTTAATATGGGATACCCTGCCCACAAAATACAACACAAATTTCAAGAAAAGACAACACGATAAGAAACATTTGTAAAAAATAGAACATTGTATATTTAATGTCATTCATGCAGAATAAACAAATTTGTATATTTTTATATCTTGTGAATAGAGTAAAAAAGATTAATGCTTTAGTTCGTTTAAGCAAATGTGATTTGAACAAAAAAATGTCTATGTGTTCGCTGTCTTTCAACAGAGTAGTAGAGTAATGTCTGTTTCTTTTCTTTTTGTGTATCCACTGAGTAGGTGGAAAGGAAAAAGGGGCGATCAATTTAAGTTAAAAAAGAGAGCGTGAATGAGAAATAAAAGATAAGAGGAAAATGTACTTATCGGGTTGAATTGTTTTGGAGTCAGTTGTAAATTTGTTGTTGTTGTTTACCTTTCCTACCCCACTTTCTGCTCAGTGTCTGGTTGAGTCAGTGACGGACCTGACTGTCAGTCTTCTGTCCTCTATGATCTCTGCGCCCTTCTGACTGGTGATTGACTTGAGTCTCTCTATTTAAAGCTGACTTTTTTTTTTACATTAGATTGTTATCTTTTTTTTAGTTTAGCAAATCGCCTCCTTTCATTGATCAGAAAATTAATTTCACACCTTATTACGAAATCTGTTTTTAGTCGTTTTGATCCGATTTTGTGGGTGTGCAAATCTACTTTGTTTTTTTCAGTTATTTGTTGGAATGATATAGGATTTGTATCCTATACATCCCAGGCAGTTGTCAAATACAACAATGGAGACTGGAGGGTACAGAATCCAAAACAGTTTGATGTAAGCAACAAATATAAGGAAGCTGGACTGAAATAGTCAATGTAATAATAGTAGCAGAACCTCGTCTTAGAAATTGAGACAAAATATAAATTTATTCCGCTATTTTCCATTTTTATAATTCCTCACTAATATTCCTTCTTTCTTTATGCATACAAAAACACCATGCAGATATGTGTACATTTCTGTATTTATTCATTTTTAATGCCTTTATTCATTTTTAATGCCTTTATACATTTTTAATGCCTTTATACATTTTTAATGCCTTTATTCATTTTTAAAGGTCATAGACTTATTGGATCAATTGAATCATGCTGAAGAGGATCTGAAAAAGGAGAAAAAGTAAGTTTGTAAATATAATCAATTCATGACCATTTGATAAGATGATGCTATGAAATAACAAGATTGGTCTTTGAATAACTTTGAAGTTGAATAACAGCATGCATGCACAAATCATGTCGTATTTTCTTGACTAAAGAGCAAACATAAATCACCTCTGAAAATTTCAAATCATTTGTGTTTTTAATCTGCTTGAAATTGACATGGTTTTCTGATGAGGCGTAAGTAAGGTTAGGCAAAAAAAAAAAAAAAAAAAAAAAAACAAGCAACATATCAATTTGAGATATTTGGTGAAATTAAACAAATTGCTGTGGTTATTAAACAAAATGATGTGGCTATTTCCAGTCAACCATCTGTGGGGTACAGCTTACCTGGATTAAAAGGAGAATTTAATATGGGATACCCTGAACAAGCAACATATCAATTTTAGATATTTGGTGAAATTAAACAAATTACTGTGGCTGTTAAACAGATTACAGTGGCTATTAAACGAAATGATATGTCTATTAAACAGATTGATGTGGCTATTAGACAAATTGATGTGGCTATTAAACTGATTGCAGTGGCTATTAAACAGATTGAGGTGGCTATTAGACAAATTGATGTGGCTATTAAACGGACTGAGGTGGCTAATAAAACAAAGTAGCTAGTAAACAAAATGGTAGGACTGTTAAAAATATGATTTAGCTAATAACCAAAACAGTTTAGCTCTTAAAATGTGACATACTGATATAGCTATTAAAGCAAATGGTTTGTCTATTAAACACAGATCATGTGATTTAAAAAATGTTGTAGTTGCTAAACAAAATGATGTAGCTATTAAACAAATTGTTGTGGCTATTAAATAATGCTACAATTGTAACAAAGCAATGATTAAGCCACTGTTTTTTTCAGTTTCTCCAAAGATTTTAAATTGACATGTTTCTTGATTATTGAACTGACCATTTTTATGACCCATCAGAAAAATACATCCACTTCAAGGGTTGCATATTGAATTTGTTTGTGTTTAGACTCATGTCTTGTTTTTTTCTCTTAAGAACTTATTTGGTGGTTGTGACAGTAATGAGTTAGTTTCTTGTGTTTGAGTCCAGGGAATGCATGGAATTTTTTGCTATCCTTTATAGGCATGCTGGCCCTACTACTTAGAAAATTGGCTTAAAACAACATTCCTAGTGATAAGTGTAATAACAATGTTCCATGTGATTAAAATACATTTCTTTTGAAGAAAAATATAAACTTTGTTGCCTTGAACATAAAAAAGAGAAATCTATGTAAAAATTATGATTGTGATTTTAATATTTTCAGAAATACTGGTTTTCAATTTACACAGCTGCAGAAATTAGTGGAGGAAAAAACTGAAGCCTTTAATGAGTTGTACTGCAAGTAAGATTATTTGTTTTTTCTTTGAGTCTCTGCCAGTTGACATACACTCACACCCAGGGTTTCACAAAATTTTCTCATTCATTCATTGGTACCTTGACTTCAAGAATTTAAGCATAATACTAGATTGGCAGCTAGGTCTCTTCTTTTTACTGTTGAAATTTCTAGATGTAACTTGTTGCAGGAGTCTATTGTCTTTAGTTATAATTAGTCACTATTATGTTGCAAGGTGTATGGATAATTTATATTTGCACTTATAGGCCCCTGCAAACAATATTGGCAGACTCATGTGAGTCCAGGTAAAAATAAGACACACGAACATCAATGAATATAAAACAAACAACAATGCATGTTATTAACAAAAGGAATTTTACATGTACACAATTGTAATGAAAAGCAAAAAAATTCAAACTAGTTATAAGAAAAATGCTTGTTTGCATGTGAGTAAAATAAGCGTGTGTCATAGGCATGTGTGTGAATGTGTGTCATAGACATGTGTGTGAATGTCTGTGTGTCATAGGCATGTGTGTGAATGTCTGTGTGTCATAGGCATGTGTGTGAATGTGTGTGTGTGTCATAGGCATGTGTATAAATGTGTGTGCGTCATAGACGTGTGTGTGAATGTAAGAGAGTTCAAAAGCCAAAAGAGGATCAAGGAAGTGAATGTGTCCCATCAGCAACATTCTTATTTTACATTCAACTAACATCTGGAAGCAAGTTTTAAAAAGAGAAAGAGAGAGAATATGATTATCTTTTTATAGACTTAATGAATGCCCCCTAACGAGCACTATTTTAATAGTTTTGCACTTCTCACCCACTGAACTCACTTCCAGCTTCTTGCTTTCCAGTCAACTTTGATCTTATGAAATTTAAATTTAAGTGTCAGTTTGTGTAAACATACTTACGCATGAACATATACATACAAATACAAAATCACATGTACAATGCCAAACGATAATTGGCGAATAAATCACTAATACATTTTTTACAGGCAATTTACAAATCGCAGTAATGCGACAATTTTGGAATCGCTTTATTTTTTTTAAGCAGTCAAATTTGTGCACTTTTGGGAGAAATGGCTCACAGAAGCTTCCTTAAGTCTCCCTAAAGATTGCTCGCTGATTGATGCCTACCAATCAGATCATTTGCACGTGAAGAATAATTTTTCCTGCACAATGACTCGGAGCCTATAGTTGCTTATTTAAGCCAAGATTTTTCTCATATCAATTAGTGAGACCTCAACTGCTAAACAAATCTACGACAGTTGGAACTCCAGTTACAATAAAGAAGGGGAGGTAACTTGAACAGACTTTATCACCCCATAAAGTTTTATTATTTTTCATCTTTGTTGTTAGCACAACATTTCAGCTGTTTTGCTCTGACTCTCTTCAGCTTACTGTCAATCCAGTTAACTTCCAGGGAATTTTGAATTGAACTCTTTATTTAATCCTCAGGAGTAGATTGTTCCCATTCTTTTGTTCACATCTAAGGATATCTACTCTTTTTCGTACTTCTCAGTTGTTGCATATTTTCTTTCCACTAAGTCTGAGTCAGGATTGAACTCACAATTTCTATGTCACTAACTTCATTAACCAACATCAGACTAAATAAATATAATGCCATCCATGTTGAGATATATGTTATTTTCTGCATGTGACCATTTAAATTAAATTTATTATTATCGAATGAATATAAATGAAAAAAAAAACCTCCAAATTGAAATTACAGATTTACCCAACTGGAATTGGGACTGAGTGTGGCCCAACAGAAACTGAAAGACCAGGAAAACCTGAACAAACATCTAGAAGCAAAACACACTGACATTGTTCACCAACATCAGATGGAGGCAAGCATTGCAAAAAAGGTTTGTATGTTTATGTTCAAACCTAGATATTTATTAAATAAGTTTGGTTGGATTGTTTGGTTAGATTTGTTAATTCATTACCATTTGGCAAAACATATTTCTTGTAGAAGTCAGTTGTGGATTCGGAATGAAATTTTGATTTAAAAAATTTGTCACACTGTAAGTTGATAAACTCCAACTGATACTTTTCTGCCACTTGCTCCAAAAATTAATTAGATAATTTGTGTCCAGGTGTTAAGTTGGCAGGCTGGACAAAAATCGTTTGCAGGCCAGAGGTGGACTAGGGGTTGCCGACCCCTGGTGTAAGTAATGATAACTCCTCCTCCCAGAAATTCAAACAGAAATTCTTATAAGTTGTCATTTTCTCTTTTAACAGAAATTATGCTCAAACTAAAGATAGCTTAGTGTTGCCTAATGATTTTCTCATCACTTAGATTGATGCTTGTTTTACGTTTTTTTTTGCTTCTAGAAAAGTTCTGAGAAAGAAAGAAAACTTTTAAAAGAATTAGCCGAAGCCAGCACCCAAATTTCACAACTGGAATACAAGGTAATTTTCTTTTTTCTTTGTAATTGGTGAATTGTATATGTGACTGGGTAAAAAAATTCCAAAAGTGATTGGCTCCCTGTATCATTCCAGTAAGTACCTGACTCCCCCTACTTATGCTCTATCTTTACACGAGCCAGATCAGGCCCCAGAAATGGAGTACTGCTGGCATATTTGGACTGGAGTTGCCCAGTCCTCACTTTCCAGTCTTGACAGAGTTCAGAAGCGTCTTTGCAGTCTTGTGGGTGATGAATTATTTTCCACTCTACAACCCCTTCCCCATAGATGAAACATTGCAAGCCTCTTGCTCATCTGTCACTTTTTCCATGGCAAATGTTCGGATGGTCTATGCTCCTTAGTTTCACCAGTTCTAACATTCTAAGACCCATTAAGCTATATAGATTTTAGACAAATCATTCCCATTTCTTTCATATTCTATTAGTAAGAAAGAAGTTCCAATCAGCCAGCTTCTTTCCAAGAATTGCTACTTTATGGAACCAACTCCCAAAAGGATGCTTCCCCAATCAGTACATCTTAACCTGTTCAAGTCTAGGATTAACTGTTACCTTTCTGACATATCCCCCTAAACTGCACATCTTACCACTTCCTCTTATGATCCTACAGCAATGTCTATCTTGAGTGGCTCTTGTGCCTTGTATTGTCTGAACATTAATAAAGACAAAAAAAACACCTTTACTCCAAAGCTTATTTTCTTTTCACATCTATGACTCCACTATATTATTAATATATTAATATTTTTTAATATTTTAGGCTGTATCAAAAGTATTTTCATTTTTTACAGACCTTTACTCCAAAGCTTATTTCATATTCACAGCTAAATACTTTCTATAACTCTACAATTTGTTTCCTCTCAGAATGTGAATGCATATGTGTCTGTTTACTGAAATGAGAATGATAGCCTCATTTTTGTTGTCTTTTGTTAACAAGGAGGTCTGTATTTAACATATATGGAGGATCCATTTTGCATTAATAAGATTATTTCTCTTGAATATTCAGAATTGGTTAGTTTAGATCTCACTTGTCTAGTTTGTCATTTATGTACATCTGGCCAGTCATATTATAGAACAGGAAAATGTTATTGTTAGTTGCCATCTGTACAAAGAAAACAGCTAAGATAGACATATAAACAGATAAATATAAAAAGAATGTGATAGATAGATAGATAGATAGATAGATAGATAGATAGATAGATAGATAGATACAAAGAGACTTGGAGAAATAGATAAAAAAGACTTGGAGAGATAGAGACAAAGAGACTTGGATAGATAGATAGATAGATAGATAGATAGATAGATAGATAGATAGATAGATAGATAGATACAAAGAGACTTGGAGAAATAGATAAAAAAGACTTGGAGAGATAGAGACAAAGAGACTTGGATAGATAGATAGATAGATAGATAGATAGATAGATAGATAGATAGAAAGAGACGGATAGATAGATAGATAGATAGATAGATAGATACTTGGAGAGATAGATAAATAGATAGATAGATAGAAAGAGACTTGGAGAGATAGATAAATAGATAGACAGATAGATACAAACAGACGGAGAGATAGATAAATAGATAGATAAATACAAAGAGACTTGGAGAAATAGATACAAAAGACTTGAAGAGATAGAAACAAACAGACTTGGAGATATAGATAGATAGATAGATAGATAGATAGATAGATAGATAGATAGATAGAAAGAAACAGACTGGGAGAGATAGATACGAATGGAGAGATAGGTAGATACAAACAGACTGGGATAGATAGAGAGATACAAACAGACTGGGATAGATATAAACAGACTGAGACAGACAGATTACAGACTGGAAAAGATAGATACATTATGAACAGATTTGGATAGATAGATATTGAACGAAACTCAGTTATTACCAGATGAATCATGCTTTAAGGAAATCTGAAGAACACATTAATGAAAGCATTATAAAAAACAACAAAAATGAGGATACTCGTCTAAAAAAACATAATAATAACTAAAGAGCAGTTTAATGACTTTTGTAGATGGATAAAATGAATGTCCAAATGAATTTCTGCACAGATAGGATGCATATTACTATAAGGACCTCCAATCGGTTGTGAACTGGCGCAGGAATTGGCTGGTCAACTTTAATGCCTCAAAAACAAAACTGCTCTCTATTAATCACCACAGAGATCCTTCCCTGCCCTCCATTAGAATGTCTGACGCTCAACTTCTCAAGAGCAACTCTCTGCGGCTGCTCGGTCTCACATTGACTGCTGACCTGAGATGGAACAAATACATTGTCAATTGCTTGGTCCACCGCAAGGAAAGTTGACTCCCTGTGCCACACCAGGAAATTTTTCTACCCGGAATCAATACTTCAGATCTACAAATCAACAATTCGCCCTTGCATGGAGTATTGCTGCCATATGTGGTCTGGAGCCCCTTCTGTTTGCCTCGGGGTTCTTGATAAGCTCCAGAGGTGGATATGCAATATAATTGGCCCTGTTCTGGTATCTCGTCTACAGTCGCTCTCTATCACAGATGCGCTGTCGCCTCTCTCTGTCTTTTTTACAAATACTTTCATGGCAATTGCTCCGAGGAGCTGCATTTGCTGGTTTCCAGACTTCATGAATTCAAGCGCCCTACGAGGCTGGCATCCCGCTGTCACTGTCAAAACTACTAAATGCAGCCGTCTCTTCTACTCCAATAGCATCATGTCTCGCACCTCTCTCCTGTGGAACTCCCTTCCCTATTCCAGTTTCCCTGAGAGCTATAATCTCCAACTATTCAAATGTAATGTCAATTGACATCTCCAGTTGCTTTGATCTATCCACTATCCTTCTCCTCATCCTTTCCTCTATCACTCCTATCTGATCTTGCTCCAAATCTTCTGTAACCCCTTGCGTCCTAGTGGCTTCTTGCCTTGCTTGGGGTGAAAAGCTTAAAATATATATATATATATATATATATATTGTGGATAGCTATATATATGCTCTCAGGAAATCTGGTTGAGTTCTCTGAAGAAAAGAGTAATTTTAAAAACAGTGGCTCCTACTGCTATTAATGGATTGCTATTCAACTATGAATTGAGCTCTCCTGGCTATTAGCATATTTCATATAGAAAACATTAAAATTTCCCTTTCTATCTACCATGTGACAATAGCCTAGGGGTAGGATCTCTGACTGATGCCAAATTGGTCAGGTTTCATTCTGAGCTTGAAGCAATCGGACATCTAACCACACTGAAGAGCTGTGATACAGCGAAACATGTGGATGACTATATACATAGGACACAATTTTTAGAATGCAAATTTTTTTACAATCTTTTAATTTTATATTTTTATAATTTTAAAGAAGTTTTTCAATTTCATTATAGTAACATGGTACTTGTTTGTTTCAATTTGCACCAAGTATGCTCCATGCTACCATAACAAGACATTTTTTCAATTTGCTAAGTAATGAGACTATTTGGGCAGTCATCATCTAGTGGGTGAGTTCATCATTATGGACATAGAAACAAATATAACTGAACAAATGTGTCACTGTTTATGATATAGATAAATGTTTAGATTTCAGATTTGGATGCCAAGAACCGAAATTGCCAGGAACAAGTTTATCTGCTGAAGGAAGAAATTGCTCATCTGCAGTCGGAAATGAAATTGAGAGAGGGCAATCACCATGGTAAGAAAATAAAGTTGCTTATTTGAAAACTGATAGATACTTGTAAGGGATTTTTGTAAATCTGGTAAAGGAGATAATATGATCTGGCTTAATTGTGTCTAAATTTCTGAGATAAAACAACATCATTAGTCCATAATCTAATTCTGTGAGATATGGACTTATGCAGGGAAATCTGTCCCGGCTTTCCCACATCAAAGGGTTGAGGTTAAAAAATTGGGTTGAGGTTAAAAAATTGTGACAAAATGCGAGTAAAAAACAGCAAGATTACAGCGAACAAACTCTCTCTTTTTTTTTAATTTTCTTTTTAGGCTTCTGTATTTTAGCATTACAGATGTCAGATTTTGACAGAGTCTAACAAAATAAAATCCCTGAATATTGTGTTGTTCTCATGACTGTCTTCATCTATGTTGCTATTAACAAAACCATGGGATAGATATATTTTGCAAATTTGTTTGTAGATGTTTGATCTTGAAGAAACAAAAATAAAACTCTTAAAAATTTTGTGCTAGAAAAATTTCTTAAATAAATTGCACTGTGTTTTTATTGCTTTCAACCTGCTATCATTCTAGACGTATTATTGGCTGAAAAGATGCGGTACAATGAACAACTGAAGCAAATAGAAGAAGCCAATCATAAGGAAGTAAGTGAGACTCCATTTTGAATCATTTTCTTTTAATTTTTTTAATCATTTTCTCTTTTCAATATATCAAAGTAACTTTGGAGGGATTCACTTGACATTCTCAAGATACACATGTGGGCATTGTAAATAAAAGTTAAACTTAAATTAAAAATCAAAATTCATTGTATTAATGATCTTTTGATAAATATTATGATTCATATCTGTTATAGTGGAACACACCTATTCTATAGTTAATAGACTCTCCCACCTATAATAAGTAGAAGTAGTAAGAGTAACGAGGAGTCGCTGAGTGGGTCGGTCAGTCAGTTGATGCCGGACGACCGTTAGTTGGATACTAAAGTATCAGCAACTACAACTAGATTACTCTGCATTATACTTATTTTATGAAGTTCCTAACATTTTGTACGTCGAACCTATTTTAGGACTTAGTACGAATACAAGCCTCCACTGTAAAATCACTCTACAACAATTATTTGGCAATAAGGGATTCAAATTCATACGTAAAAAAAAAAAATTCACACTCCATAACAATATCATAATAATGTTCAAAGAAATTTAGACAATCAAATTGTAGTGGTCGTCTAATTTAGATACAGGAAGAGTGGTGACTGTGAATACTCTCCCTGAGACAAGAACATATAGTTGTCTATCTTCAATTTGTGTAACTACTTTCTTTAAGTATCAGCCACTATGTTATATGACTTTACAACACAAATGAAAATTGGTTTAATTCCACACTAACAACAATCCTCTAAAAAATGGCTACTGAATTAGCCAAAAACACTTTGTACAATAATCTCTGCAAACAGTTTCTACACTCTTACTCCTCATAAAAGAAAAACTTCAAGAACAGTAGATTAGCTGTATAATAATAATAATAAATAATAATAATATATATATATATATATATATATATATATATATATATATATATAAAATAAAAGTGAACATTGAAGTCAACACTGAGAGACGATTGGTGGCCTGATGATTGCATCCAGCATGAAACAGCCTGTTGCCTCTCAGTGTTGACTTCGATGTTCACTTTTATATTTATATTTACATACGCTCTATCTCTGATATTGAGCACTTTATCCCATAAATATAGCACACCTTAAAACTATATTTCTTCATATATATATATATATATATATATATATATATATATATATATATATATATATATATATAAAACAGTTGTTGGTCAGAGTTGAATCAGACCAGGGGATGGTTATATTAAAAAGTGCTCGAGACACAATCCAAAAAATTGAACGTGCAGATCTTTTAAATATTAAGAAGTAGGAAGATCAACCACTTACACTACCATGGTTTCAACCAGTAAGGTCTCGTCAGACAGTAGAGGCTAATTAAGTTCCTAACACTTTATTTGCTTATTTTATGTGCACACAACAGAAAGTGCGACAGAATGGGAGGGGCGTGGCAAGAGTTGGGAAATAGGATGGGATCAGGAGTGAAAGAAAAAAATATTATACATACTTTCATCCGGGTTCATATAAACCCAAAATATACTTTTTCGTGGTCTACACCCTGACATGATTCGGACTCTCATCTAACAACTTTTTTTGGTTTGTATACACTATTATTCCTAAGTTTTCTTTGGTTTGTATACACTATTATTGCTAATTTTTCTTTGGTTTGTATACACTATTATTGCTAATTTTTCTTTGGTTTGTATACACTATTATTGCTAATTTTTCTTTGGTTTGTATACACTATTATTGCTAATTTTTCTTTGGTTTGTATACATTATTATTGCTAATTTTTCTTTGGTTTGTATACACTATTATTGCTAATTTTTCTTTGGTTTGTATACATTATTATTGCTAATTTTTCTTTGGTTTGTATACACTATTATTGCTAATTTTTCTTTGGTTTGTATACATTATTATTGCTAATTTTTCTTTCTAGCACAGCCTGCATAAATCACTACCATTACTGTAAGGCAGTTTTTCACTGTTTTTGAATATAGTCCCCCTTGACATCAATGTACTTGGTCCAACGATGCTTCAGCATTGCAATCCCATCACAGAAGAAGCTGGTATCCTGGTCTTCGAAAAACTCTTCCATAGCACATATGATCTCATCATTGTTTCCAAAACGGCAAATAGTGGCATAGTGTTTGTAAGTTCAATCTCTGAGTTGAGTAATACAGGTTAGATTAGTTAATGATGCTTATTAAGATGCTCACCCTACACAAAAATCTATGTATAAAAAAAAAAAAAATAAATAAATCTCAACTAGCAATTTAGAACCAATCAAAAGACATGGTTTCATTAATCAAGAACTGTCTTTGAGAGTCTTTGTAGTGGTTTTTTGCATTTAGGAAACAAGAAGAAGTCAGATGGAGCTGAGTCTGGTGAGTAAGGAGGATGGGGGTAGAAATTCAAAGTCACAGTTGGCTACTTTAACATGAATGGGTACATTAGTTTTAGAGAAAATGGAAGCTAAAAAGACATACTTAACATCAGAAAAAGGTAGTTGAAATTTCTAGGGCACATAAGGAGGAAAGAAAGCTTGGACAATTTGAGTCACTGGATCCAACCAATGCTTTTTGTCCATTGGGTCATGTGTCATTGACTTGTGAATCCAATACCTGGCTACTGTAGTGGTGAACTTTGAGAGTTGAGTTAAAGGGAGATAATCGAGGCATCCAGAAGAGGCATGGCACGTGGAACTAGAACAACCTACCACTGTGTATGAAAGAAAGAGTTCAGTTTGAAATTTCAATCACCTGAAGAAGGCTGGAGTGTACAACGGACGAAATGTAATAAATGTGGCAATAAAGATAAGGACAACAGCCTGAACAATGTAAATAATTACAATACCTCATCTCAGAAATATACACAGAAAATTTTTTTTAGTTTTTTTATTTTTAAATCAACAGCATATTCTTATTTGTTAATAACGTTTTATTTTTAAATAATGGCGGTTGTTTTTGCCTTAACAGGAGATGCAGCGTAAATCAGGATGGGAGAGCATGAAAAATGAATTGCAGAACCAGTTGCAGAAAATGACCGATCGGTGCCAAGAGTTGGAGAGAGAAGTTATTCAGCTTAAGTCAGAAAATATTGTAACCATCAAGAAGGCCGAAGAGGATGTAAACCAAGCCAAAATGAAGATTCTATCAGAAAAGGTAAAGTACTTGCTGTACAATCGAATAAACAAAAAAAATTAAAAACTCAAATATAAACACAACCAGTGTTTGCCTATAGAGTCAAGCATAAACCTGGCCAATGTTTGCCTATAGACTCAAGTATAAACCTGACCAATGTTTACCTATCGATTCAAGTATAAACACGACCAATGTCTGCTTATAGACTCAAGTATAAACATGATTAATGTATGCCTATAGACTCAAGTATAAATATAACCTCTTCACCTGACATCAAGTATAATCCATTGCATGTATAGGCATGTATATTATTTTTGATATTGTGATGTTGTGCTCACTGCACTAAATCTAACCCCCCCGTCACTCATGCTGGTTCTTAAATACAATACATCTGTCTGGGTTTTGGATATTGTATTGGTGGGGAAGGGGGTTTACACTTTTTACACTTCTGTGAAGGTGGCTTGTGCTCAGTGCAATAGATTTCACTTCATCAAAATGTGCCAACTGGAAGAAAATGACACCATTGGAAAATTATCAACAATTTAATTAGAAGTGAAACGTAAAATGCTACAACATCTGTGGAGTTTCTTCATCTTCATCATCTTTTTTATCTACACTTTCAGGTACTAAGAGATGTCTTAGAAGTGAATTACTTTTACAGTGGACTTTTTCTAATGCAAGATGTTTGCACAGGGACATGCACAGTTTTCTCTTTGTGGACATCTAACTCCAACTGATATTCACCTCATCTTGTGCACTCACTGATACTGACTTCTACTAAGGGCTGGATTAACCATTAAGCAAAATAAGCATGTGCTTAGGGCATCAAAGGAAGAGGACACCACAGAAATTTAATATGATGTTGTTGTACACATCTAAAGAAATATGTCGAACACGATTAACATTTGAATCAACAGGGCGCCATTATGAAGTAAGGACAACTGATCTGCAGTGAATCTTTATTGACATTCTGATTGGTTAATTAGGGAATGAGCTAAGGGAGATAATAAGGATTGTATTTACTCAATACAACACCTCTCTTGAATAAGTTAGTATTATTAATTAAGTTAATGGGATTTAATTTTGGGAACAGAGGTAGACTACCTTCATGTTCATTTGGTATTATTCTAGCCATATTTTTATGCGATTCTGTAACACTCTGGTTTGTTGATGACACAACCACTTCTGGTCACAGTTCTGTTAGAATCTGGTTGTGGCTCATTTGACAATGGCTGCACAGCTGTGATTGTTTCTTTCTTGGTTGGTGTTGTTCTAAGTTGGAACTGATGGTCAGCCTTTCTCGATGGACATATGTGTCTTCGGTTCATTCTATATTTATTTCTAGCTAGTGTTTCTGTGATGCACACTCTTGGTTGATAACCTTTATTTATTTGCACTACTTACCGAGATTCCATGCAAGCATACTTAACTCACAGGTGTATGGGGGCTCCAAAATCTTTTAAGTGCTTAGGGCCCCGTATGGGTTTTAATTGGTTGTTTTTGTTTATTATGCATGTGTGGGAGCATCGTCCACATCAGTGGGCTCCCTTCCAGGTAACTGGCTAGCTGCATACATGGCAGCTGTAACACAGGATCTGTTGATGAGCTTGTCATAATATTGGTGGAACAAAAAATGAAATGTGGCAGAGAACTTTTATCAATTTTGGAGGGAGAAAAGTGTTGGTTTTGTATATCGTAAAATATGGCCACATATATTATTGGTTGTTTTATTTCTTGCAGAATCAGTATCAACAACAACTGGAGGAAAAATTGTTGGATCTTGAAAGCCACAAACAAAACTTGAAACTGGAATTGGAAAACCTACGAAAGCATTTGGACATGGCGAACAAAGTAAGACCCAGTGGTTTATATGTCAGCATGTGACTTTGTAGATATAATATGTCTATGTCTGTGTTGTGTGCAAGTAATAAATAGTTAAGCAATATCGAGCCTGATCGATACTGAGATGGGTGACTACTTAGGAATACCGAGTGCTCTAAGCTTGGATGTGCAGCTGGTGTAATGGATAATGACTCAGAATGGTTAATTGGAGAGCCGAGTTCAAATTCCAGTTAGGTTCCTTATATTCACTTACGTCCAAATACCTTTGGGAAAAGTATGAATCCACCTCTTCTTCCCCAGCTATGGGTTAATTAGTAAGACTTGTATCACTAAATCATTATTATCTCCAATTCTTATAATCTAAAAATATTTTCTGACTTTAAATAACCTGCAAAGGGTTGATAAACAATAAAAAAATGTATCTATCAATAAATTGATCACTTTACTGCTGAAACTGCTAGATGTAACCATAAGTTCAATGCTAACAATTTCTAATCTGGCATTTCTTGCTTGTAGAAGTCTCTTCCAACTTCTTATTTTCCAATTAACTTTTAATCTTCAAAAATTATAATGGTATGCCAATTGTCACTTCTGTTTCATTAATTCCTGTTCTTTTATTGTCCTCTCTCCTTTTTTTCTGAGACTCTATCACACTCAGTAACTCTTTGTGTCTTAGTGGCTTTATTGCCTTGCTTAGTAGTGTAATGATTTAAGAAAAAAAAATATACACAAGGACACATGGCACAGTGGATAAAGGCGTTGGTTAGATCCAGTGACAGGACCCAAAGAGTGTGAGTTCAATACCCAGTTAAGGCAGTGGAGAACTTTCAGAGGGAAATTAACAGGAGATAACTGATAACTGACATCCATTAAACATGGCACGTGGAAATAAAGTGAGCGAAATAAAGGGTTCAGTTCGACATTCCAACCACCTGAAGAAGGCCGGATCATACAACGGGTGAAACGTTGTAATAAATATGGCGCCAAAGATGAGGACAATAGTCTGAATAATGTAAATAATGTACATATTACCTCATCTCAGAAATATAGACAAAAAAAATACACTTGATGAAAGCTGAAGAATAGATTGGCTGAAATGTTGTTAACAGTCGCAAGTAAATGCTATATATAAGTTTATCGGAACAGAGTATGTTAATGACTCTTTTCAGAGTTATAGAAAGTGTAAGAGTTATGGAGACTGAATAATCATGGTTTTTATAATCTAAAAATGCATTAGGCTTTAAAGGTCCAGCAGGTAACATTCTAAAACAGATTTCATAATAGATATTTTGTAATAATCAAAATCCTGTAACCTTCTTTGTCCTAGTAGCATTATTGCCTTACTTGGAGTGAAATGATAAATAAAAAAACTATATATATATATATATATATATATTGTTATAGCATACCTACCTGACGATAATGGGTATGTCCCCATTCACATACATATAGTAGTAAATATTGTTTGTTGACCTGCAGTCAGAGATTTGTCTCCGGCTGTGCTGGTTAAACTATCTGCCTTGAGCAGAGAGGATCCCCTGACATGGCTATGTTGAAGGGCAGAGTCTTGGGAAACAGCTACCTGAACCCGGGGTCTATGGGGAATTTTCACTGAGCCTACAGGCTTTGATACCCCACAATAAATTTGACCTTGTGCTACATCTGACCATGTGAGGCAGTTGGTAAATATCCTGCAGTTGGAGATTCATTGTGGAATCCACTTGACTCCCTTCTAGCAGTTAACTACTACTTCTACACGCCGCTGGCGAATCTTATGTGTGTTGTTCTTGTCCTAAGTATTATCGTTCATTACCAAACTTCATGTGATTATTCTATTCAGTAACCTTCCCTAGGTTACAACATTTTGGCAACAAGGATTAGACAAAATTACAACATATATATATATATTGCTTCAAAATTATGGTGGAAGCTTGTGTTTGAACTGAATGTCCCATTTTTATTTTTGCTTTAAATAGGGTGTATTGCTTCTGTCGGCCTGTGTGTTTGAAGGGTCTTGATAGAGACTTTTCTTAACAGGGAAAATACATCTTTACTGTACTGTGATACTCTTCATAGCTGAGCAGTGAAGCACACCAGATCAAATGTTTGTTTTATTAAGGTTTCTCGAGGGCAGGGGCCAATGGATATGGTACATGCTGTTTAAAGTAAAAACATGGGGGTGGGTGTCTGTTTCAGGTACAGGTACCCACTATAATAATGTTTGAAGTAAGTACCTCAGTTTTCATGGAACATAAATCTCAAAATTATTTTCTTGAAGAAAGAAAAAACAATTGATAGAAAATTATTTTTATTTTTTTGCAAGTGACAAGGTCTCCACTGATGTGTTAAATGTCCTGTGAGGATTCTGCATTTTGTGGGTTAACCATTATCTTTCCTATATATGCTTGCAAAATAAACTTCTTACTTCCTCCTTTTACACTAATCCTGGGTATGATGATTATACTACATCCAGCAGCAAAGCCTCTGATGGGAAAACTGGAGTTTTTTGAAGAAGCGTGGAACCACCTCTTAATTCTTGTTCACAGGTCTACCTAGTCCTGGGGTGGTAGCACCTGTTAGGGTACTAGCTATGGGCAAATAGTGAAGCCCCAAACAAAAACAAAATACTATGAAAATGTGGAAATCCATTTTTGTAGTGTGCTGGGGTACCAGCAATGCATTTTTATATAAAAAACATTACCAACAATACATTTTGTATAAAAAGAATTAACAACAGTACATATTTACAGTAAACTGACCAACAATACCTATTTAGAATGAACTGACCAACAATACCAACTTATAGTAAACTTAGTAACAATACCTATTTTTAACCATCTTGGGTATGACAATAAACTACATCCATGTCCTGGGTAAGACAATAAACTACGTCCAACAGCAAGGCCTCTGATCAGGAGGTTTTGAGGAGTGTGGAACCACTTCTTAATTGCGTTGACCCGGAATGGTAGCACGTGTTATGGTCCCAGCTATGGGAAAATAGTTAAACCCCGAAATGAGGTCAAAATACTATGAAAGTGTAAAAATAGGTTTTAATACCAGCAATAAATTGTTTGAAGGAAAAATTATTACTAGCAATACATTTTTGAGGAAAAATATTACCAGCAGTATATTTTTTGAAGAAAAACATTACCGGCGATACATTTTTGAAGGAAAAAAATATTACTAGCAATGCATTTTTGAGGAAAAGTGTATTACCAGCAATACATTTTGGAAAAAATATTACCAACAATAAAAATCTTGTTGGCATTAAATAACCTATAGAAGTTGATCTGCCATAAAATAAAACAAACCAATCCAAACATATTTATAATAAACTTACCAACAATACCTATTTATAGTCCAAAGACTAACAATACATTTTTAATGCAAAATGACCAACAATACATTTTATTTGTAGTTGGAGGCATAGAATTGCATTCAAAATATGTTTAGTTCAAGCCATAAAATTGTGTTCAAGATATTTAGCTTTCAGCATTAAATAACCCATAGAGGTGTTGATATGCCACTAAACAAAATCAACCTACCTACACGAAAGAACTTTGACATTAATCTATATAATATCATACAATTAAAAAACTCAAACTGTATTCCAAAATATAACTTCAACAAAAACTACAACATAATTAAAAATAATTAAAAAAAAAACTGTGTTAAAAAAAAAAAGAAGAAAAATATGGTCAGAAAGAGAATGCATGAATTTGTATCTTTTTTTTTTCTTGCAGGAACTTAGCCAGAAAGATGCAGAAAAAGAGGTAGAAATCAACAGAGTGAAAGCCGAATTGCAGAAGAAAGAGAAACAATTGGATGTGGAGCAGGAGAAGCTTCTGGAACAGAAAAACCAGGTTTTCATACTGGAACAGAAAATGAACGGTATACAATGCATAATTTGTGCTGGCTGAGTGGTGTCAAATATTATTAGGCTTTAAAAACTGTTTTTTTTTTTAGCTCTAACAATGCAATCTATAAATGTTTAATTTAGTGTCCCTACTCAAATAAGCCCCCTCTGTTTCCCAAAGAATTTAAAATAAGTTCATCTCTCAAATTAGCAGCTCCCTTTCTGCAAGTAATTTAAAATTAGCACCCCTTTCAGATTAACACGTCACTTCCCCAACAAATTTAAACCAAGTACCCCTTCTCAAATTAACACTCCCCACTTTCCTCAAGGAATTTAAAACAAATGCCTCTTTTGAATTAGCACTCCCACTTTCCCTAAGCAATTTAAAATGAGCACCAATTTCAAATTTTTCTGGGGTTTAAAAATTCTGGGGTCAGATTACAAGTCTATATAATAGAATATATATGGTAGCATTTATATTTGAAATTGGGCTTAATTACGTAATAAAACAAGAAAAATACAAGCAATCTTTTACTTTCACAGTAACTGTTCCGATGAGCTGCTTTTGCTAGTTCCCAGACTTTATGAATTTGAGCGTTCAACTAGGCTGGCATCTTGCTCTCACCCTTTCACTATCGAAACTGTTAAATGTAGCCGTCTCTTCTACTCCAATAGCTTCATGTCTTGCACTTCTGTTGTAGAGTAGTTTCACAGTGGAGGCTTGTATTTCACTAAGTCAGTCCTAAAAAAGGTTCGACGTACAAAACGTTAGGAACTTGTTATAATAGTTAATGACGCAGCAATCTAGTTGTGGTGGTTGATACTTTAATGTCCGACATCGACTGACTGACCAACTCACTGAGCTCCCTGGAGACTGCTACTACTACTACATTATATCTGGGAGAGTCTATTAACAATAGAATAGGTATGTTCTAGTATAACAACTTCTCACCTGTGGAACTCCCTCCCCTTTTCCTGTTTCCCTGATAGCTATAATCTCCAACTATTCAAATGTAATGTCAATCGACGTCTCCAGATGCCCTGATCTATCCCATATCCTTCTCTTCATCCTTTCCGCTATCACTCTCTGCAACGCCTTGCGTGCTAGTGGCTTCCCGCCTTTTTGGGGGTGAAATGCTTAAAAAAAAAGCTCTAATTATAAAAAAGGAGAAACTTATGTTGCTAAGGTATTTATATTTTATAATTTTTTTTATGTTTAACCCTGTGTTAGTTACATGAGGTGTTTTGTTACCCAAAAATTTTTATAGTACTCATAATTCGTAGTTGGTAACTTTTTTTCTTTTGCTCCCTCCAACTAGTCATCATGTGATGTGGTTTCAGTTATAGTTCAGTTGTCAGGGTTAGTGACACCAAGGTATTATCCATTTTCAGAAATCCAAGGTGACTAATTGTTATAGTGGAACACACCTATTCTATAGTTAATAGACTCTCCCACCTATAATAAGTAGGAGTAGTAAGAGTAACAAGTCAGTCGCTGAGTCACTTAGTGGGTCGGTCAGTCAGTCGATGCCGGATGACCGTTAATCAGATACTAAAGCATCAGTGACCACCACTAGATTTCTCTGCGTCATTACCTATTATATCAAGTTCCTAACATTTTGCATGTCAAACCTATTTCAGGACCGACTTAGTACAAATACAAGCCTCCACTGTGAAACCACTCCACAACACTAATGCAGGGTTAAAGTCTAAATATACTTGATTTTCATTTAGAATGTAGACTTTGTTTCCTTTTTTTTGTATTTTCAGAGCAAAGCAGTCGGCACCATGTATCACTTGAACAAAAAGACCGGGAACTTTTTGAATTACGTGAAAGGCTTTATGCCAAAGGGAGTCAACTAAACTGCCTCTGTGAAGAAGTTTCTCAACGGGCCCAGTCTCTACAGGCAGCCGTCAACAAAACACACATTGGCCAATCTAGCTAGTTTCTTTGTCTTCTTTTGCTCATCAACCAGTGACGCAAGTTGATTTTTTAACTGTCAAATTCTCTTGAACAAATTTCATAAAAACTCTTAACTCGGAAATATATGGCACCAATTGCAATATTGGGCTGGAGTCTCTCACGGAGCAAATTAAACAATGATCATTGATTTTTTTTTTTTTTTTTTTTTCCAGTTTTAGCAACTGGAATTTTTTACAACATATAACTCATTATTTTATTAAGAAATATTTAAATACTTTATAATTGTAAAGTATAAAAATACTTAATTTGGAAAACGTTATTAATTAAGACCTTTTCAGGGTTTTCTTTTTTTCCTCTACATTGATAACATAACAGATGCAGGGCATAATTTCACTTGCTACCCAATGGTCTTCACATGATTTACAGGAAAAATGCTATTATCATGATAATTATTAATTTTTGGACTAATATTTTTCACTTAATCATTACCTCTTATTACAACTCTCAAACACTTTTATTGTGACCTTTTATTACAGACCTCTTGTTGCAACCAGTGTGAATCAGAAATAAAGGACAAAGTGTTTTCCTTAGGAAGTTTGTCTTGACATGACAGCTACTTTACTGATTAGGCTATAGAACCTTCTAGCAGAGTTATTCGTATAAAGCCATGCATTTTCTTCCTCACATACCTGATAAATCACCATTTTTATTTATATCATGGAGAAAATTATTTTAAAAATATATCCAAACTGATTTTGACACAATGCTTAAACAGATATTTTTAAAAACTTACAGAACTTTTTTTTTTACATTGTTCCACAAATTTCTCATATCCGTATGGGTTCAAATTCATGACTAAAGATTATGAAAACCAAATGAGTAGGTACACATTTTAAGTAAATTTCAGTGCCAAACGCATATGGAAATTTCTTTGCAAAAATATTTGGATGCTCTTTTCTTCCAAAGTTTCCAGTCTTTGCAGTAACAATTTCAGCTCAATTGCTTGTTTATATTTTTGGTATGTCAAAGAATTTCTAACAACAACAATTCAAATTTTAACATTTTCAAATACAGGGTGTCCCAATAACTTAGACCGATTTTAAATGTGAATTAAGTTTAAGCATCTAATGATATTTTTCTTTTTCTTTCAGATTTAACAAAAGTCTTTGGCAATTTTAAACATGGAAAGATTTAGCAATCAAACGTGTTAAAGTTATTGAAGACTATTACGAAAATGGACGTTCAAACAGAAATGCATTTTGTGCACTTCACGATTTTTTTGGTCAACATAATCGACTAACCAAGAGTGCAATTGGAAAAATTGTTCATAAATTCAATCAAACTGTTGGTGTCGGTGGCAGATGTGAAAACACCACTGCGTGCTCGTTTACGCCGTTCAGATGAAAACATTGCTGCAGTGCACGAGAATGTTGCCGAAAATCCAGACACATCTATACGTCATCGCTCGCAGAAACTGAACCTCTCCACAACAACGTTACATCGAATTTTGACAAAAGATTTGTCTCTACACGCTTACAAAATTTCAAACAAGAACTGAAACCTGCTGATCATTTGGAGTGCCGTACATTCGTCAATTGGGTGCACAAGGAAAGACAAGCCGATGAAGATTCTCCGCAAAAAATTCCTCTTTAGTGTTGAAGCCCATTTTCATCTTGGTGGATTCATTAATAAGCAGAATTGTCGCATTTGGGCTGAAAAGCCACTGCATCCACAAAAAGTCACTGTTTGGTATGCATTTTTGCTAGCGGAATCATTGGGCCGTATATTTATAAATTTGAATGTCCATTTTCACAATAGGCTTTGATAACTTTAACACATTTGATTGTTAATCTTTCCATGATTGAAATTGCCAAAGACTTAAGTTGTTAAATCTGAAAGAAAAAGAAAAAAATCATTAAATGCTTAAACTTAATTCACATTTAAAATCAGTTCAAGTTATTGGAACACCCTACTTGCCATTTTAAGAAAAAAAAAAATGAACCTGTCCACCATACAAGCAGACAGAAGATATCTTTTCTATTTTCAAATTAAAATGAGACTTGAATATTTTAATGGTATAATTGCCAACATGAAGTGGAAAGACTATATTGAATTGCGAGGTCAGCTGCTAAGAAAGTTGGTTCACTGTGTCATGCTAGATAATTTTTCTCTCCAGAAACTATCTTACAAATCTATAAGTTTACCATTCATCCATTGCTTAGTATATTGCTGCCGCATATGGTCCAATGCTCCTGCAATTTATTTAGAGATTCTTGATAAAATCCAAAGGAGAATCAGCAATATTATTGGCCCCAATCTGATGTCTTGGCTTCAGTCACTTTCCCACCGTCACAAATTTGCTTCTCTGTGCCTTTTCTATAAATACTTTCATAGTAATTTTTCAGATGAGATATTCACTGTGGTACAAAGACTTTATGAAACTAAGTGCAGTACTAGATCAACAGCAAGGTTTCATCAATTTATAGTTGAATTAGCCAAGATGTACCTGTAAGTTCTATGCAAACAGTTGCACTTCTTCGTTGTGGAACTCTTTTACTGGTCCATGCTTTCTCGCCAACTTTGATCTTCAAATATTTAAATGCAATGTCAATCGTTATCTACTGTCTTCCTGATTACTCTTCTATTGTTTTCACTTCTTTATATTGTTTTCTGTTTTTTAATTCTTCCACAACCAATAAATCCTTCTGTTTTAGTAATGTTACTGCCTTGCTTGGGGTAAATTCGATTAAAAAAATAAAGAATTGAATAAAAGCAAAAATGGAGAACTGGAATATATAGAAATTTTTGTTTAAAATCAATAAGTGGTATGGGGGAGTAGAAAATCTGAGGGATATGGGTTAGGATTAGTTTAGAATTTAGTTTATTTCTATGAAGGAATGGTATACAGCAAATTATTTAATGAGAGTTAAAATAGGAATTATGCCTGTATTCACTTTTTAATCAGGGAAATCACTTTCAAGACAATTGTGCTTTACCATCAAGCCACAGGAAGCTATCACAGCAAACCAAAGCTATTTAAGAAAAAGAAAATACGTTCGAATCCTCTTGGAAGGTACACTTTCTTTGATATGATATATGTATATAATTCTTATTACTCTAAATATTATATTTAGGGAGTATTCATGTTTAAGTAGATATTCAGATTTTCTTAAACAGTGAAAATTAATATCCGCTGGCCTAGAGACTGAAAGTCTTATTACAAAAAAAATACCTGACAGGAATATATATATTCACTTTTTAATCAGGGAAATCGCTTTCAAGACAATTGTGCTTTACCATCAGGCCACAGGAAGCTATCACAGCAAACCAAAGCTATTTAAGAAAAAGGAAATACATGTTCGAATCCTCTTGGAAGGTACACTTTCTTTGATACGATATATGTATATAATTCTTATTACTCTTAATGTTATATTTAGTGAGTATTCATGTTTGAGTAGATATTCAGATTTTCTTAAACAGTGAAAATTAATATCCGCTGGCCTAGAGACTGAAAGTCTTATTACAAAAACATACCTGACAGGAATATAAACCAACTGAGCTATGGAAAAATTTAGCAAATCACACAAAGCTGAATGGTGACTCTAGTGTCAGATCTAACAACGGTTTCCCTCTGCCTAGGAGGACGCAGTTTGTATCCTGCTGGAGAGAACATGTTTCTCTTTAGTAAGTTTTCTCGAACATTCAGGCCAGTAGATGAAAATAAATAAACAAAGCATCTACTCAAATACGATTATCCACTGTAAATAATGTTTAAAGTGATATATACAATGGTGGGATTCAGTGGGTTTGAACATGTTCGCATGAATCTGTTCTTGGAATTTTATGAGCTCAGCAAACCTGTTGCTAGCTGCAACCATAACAAACAAACTGCTAGTTTATCTACAAATTTTAATCACAAAATCAGTTGGGGATGCAAATTCAGGTGATCGAATAAAGGTTAATATACATTTCATGAACTGCTGAACTTACTAGAGCTTACTTGGTATATTCAAGAAATAGTTATTCCCTGAAAAGCTGTGAAAGAAAAGCTGAATGGCTTCAGTAAAATATTTCATCACAACATTCCCATTAATGATTTTCATGTGGAAAATGTCCGTAAAAACTTTCATAATCTGTAATTCCCCAAAGTGTACAAAAAGCAAAAACCATTATCAATACGATTGCTATCAGTTCTTTCAAGTCAGAAAGAGGTTTTTCAAGAATAAATATTATAGTGATTTTCCAAGTGTAGCTTAGATGTGGCACAAGGCCGAAAGTATGGGGCACCTAGTGAGGATCGAACTCACTACTCAGTCGTAACTGTTCTAGCGAGACAAACTTGCTAACCATTACACTGACTCGAGGTGCCCAAGAATAAATATTATATACTCAGATAAAAGAAACCGACTTAGAGTGGAAAATGCAGCAAATTTAATGACAATTTTATTCGTCTCCCATTAGATTTATGGGATGCTACTCCTTTCGTTAAAACATGGCTTAGAAAAAAATCACATATGGATGAGTTTATTATATTTGTATTTTCTACTGGTATGCTCCGGATAGAGTCTTGTAAGTTTGTGGGTGTGTTTAAACTGGTTCTAATAGAGCTGTGGTCTGATAGGTGTAACATTAAGCATGTAGTAATGAAACATATATGACGAAGTTATAGAAATCAAAACTACATGGTAACTGGTTGATTCACACCTTCAGTAATCATCAAACTCTGTATTACTCCTCTTTATGTAGGCTCTCTCTATATAGGTCAATGGGGTGAGCTATAGGAAGAGATGAAACTTTTTTTCCAGTTTTTTTCTTGCTTAGGTCCAATTGTTTTTTGATTATTTTGAGTCATGGCCTTCTGTTTATTTATATTTTTTCTATTTATTCTTCATGACAATGAGAAATTGGATCAGTTTTTTGGAACTGAGCAACTCATCCGCAAGGTATTTTTACATAAAACGAACAAGAAATTTCATACTTGCTTGTTTCTTCCCATCCTCATTGCCAAAGGATATGGATACC